ACATGTCCTGTCCCTATCCTCACATGTCCTGTCACTACCGTCACATGTCCTGTCATTACCGTCACATGTCCTGTCCCTATCCTCACACGTCCTGTCCCTATCCTCACATGTCCTGTCCCTATCCTCACATGTCCTGTCACTACCGTCACATGTCCTGTAACTATCGTCACATGTCCTACCGTCACATGTCCTGTCCCTATCCTCACATGTCCTGTCCCTATCCTCACATGTCCTGTCCCTATCGTCACATGTCCTGTAACTATCGTCACATGTCCTACCGTCACATGTCCTGTCCCTATCCTCACATGTCCTGTCACTACCGTCACATGTCCTGTCCCTACCATCACATGTCCTGTCCCTATCCTCACATGTCCTGTCCCTATCCTCACAAGTCCTATCACTACCGTCACATGTCCTGTCCCTATCCTCACATGTCCTGTCACTACCGTCACATGTCCTGTCACTATCGTCACATGTCCTACCGTCACATGTCCTGTCCCTATCCTCACATGTCCTGTCCCTATCCTCACATGTCCTGTCCCTATCGTCACATGTCCTGTAACTATCGTCACATGTCCTACCGTCACATGTCCTGTCCCTATCCTCACATGTCCTGTCACTACCGTCACATGTCCTGTCTCTATCCTCACATGTCCTGTCACTACCGTCACATGTCCTGTCCCTATCCTCAAATGTCCTGTCACTACCGTCACGTCCTGTCTCTATCCTCACATGTCCTGTCACTACCGTCACATGTCCTGTCCCTATCCTCAAATGTCCTGTCACTACCGTCACATGTCCTGTCCCTATCCTCACATGTCCTGTCTCTATCCTCACATGTCCTGTCCCTATCCTCACATGTCCTGTCCCTATCCTCACATGTCCTGTCACTACCGTCACATGTCCTGTCCCTATCCTCACATGTCCTGTCCCTATCCTCACATGTCCTGTCACTATCCTCACATGTCCTGTCACTATCCTCACATGTCCTGTTACTACCGTCACATGTCCTGTCACTATCCTCACATGTCCTGTCACTATCCTCACATGTCCTGTCACTATCCTCACATGTCCTGTCACTATCGTCACATGTCCTGTCGCTACCGTCACATGTCCTGTCCCTATCCTCACATGTCCTGTCCCTACCCTCACATGTCCTGTCTCTATCCTCACATGTCCTGTCCCTATCCTCACATGTCATGTCCCTATCCTCACATGTCCTGTCCCTATCCTCACATGTCCTGTCCCTATCCTCACATGTCCTGTCCCTATCCTCACATGTCCTGTCCCTATCCTCACATGTCCTGTCCCTATCCTCACATGTCCTGTCCCTATCCTCACATGTCCTGTCCCTATCCTCACATGTCCTGTCCCTATCCTCACATGTCCTGTCCCTATCCTCACATGTCCTGTCACAATCGTCACATGTCCTGTTACTACCGTCACATGTCCTACCGTCACATGTCCTGTCACTACCGTCACATGTCCTACCGTCACATGTCCTGTCACTACCGTCACATGTCCTGTCACTACCGTCACATGTCCTGTCCCTATCCTCACATGTCCTGTCACTACACCTTCGTGTCCTCTAATGGTTTACAAACAAGAGAGACAACTCCTACTTCTGACATGACGGGATGCCGTAACTCTGCTCAGCCTGTCAAACAGTTATCTGCCCTGGTATTGTGCCAGACGATCTTCCGTTGGCGCCCTTTTGCCGGGCATTGTCTTTATGGAAATCAGCCCCCACCACCCACCCCTTCCCCCGTAAAACGTGTTACATAAATGTTATGCATGGAGTCTATGCGACGAGCGAGGGGTTGAAGTTGAAAGGTCATCAATATGTTCTATATCTTTCTGTCTATTTATTTTCGCAAGGTTTTTTTTTTCTAGATGCGACGATTTGTTATAAAATGATTATGTCAGGTATATGGGGTAATATATGGGGGGCGGGCAGTGTGTAGGTTTCACGATCTCTATTGTGTAACATACAAAGAATGTGTAATTGAAGTACCCGAGTGTGTTGTTATTTGATTAATGTATAGAAATTAATTAAACTCGTAAAATTCGTGGACTCTCACTTTCACAGTGTACAAGTTCTTATATGTGTTTACGGTGTTTTACATGGTGCTGCGATGTTTGTGTAGAAAAGTAATGGGTGACTTCAAGTGATGCTTTTTGTTACATAATGAGGTGTATGCGATGTTTTAAAAGCTAATTGGAGATGTTATTTATTTAACAGGTCGATCTGTGTTATGTTAGTTAAGGGTATATGTTTTCTATGAATGTGTTGTATTGTGTTTTGCTGTGATGTATTGTGATGTGTTGTGATGTGTTGTGTTGTATTATGTTATGCTATGTTGTATTGTGATGTGATGTGTTATGCTGCGTTGTATTGTGATGTTTTGCGTTGTGATGTGATGTGATGTGTTGTGTTATATTGTGTTATGCTGTGTTGTTCTGTGATGTCTTGTGTTGTGATGTGCTGTATTGTGATGTATTGTGTTATGATGCGTTGTATTGTGACGTGTCGAGTCAAGCCCCACAGTAGACACGCGCGGCCCACCGCATCAAACATTGACTAAAACTGGTCCACTTACAGTCAACATTTCCCCCCCCCTCCCCCTCCCCCTCATGTATCCCGCTTGAAAGTTCAAGAGGTCAGTGCTGGAATGTTGCCCCTGGGCCCGGAAACATCGAGAGGTCCCCCAGCAAATGTTGATTCTATCTAGTGATAAGTGTAGCACTCCAGCACCGCCACTCTCGACTAGGGAATACATACGCAGATATATATATATATATATATATATATATATATATATATATATATATATATATATATATATATATATATATATATATATAATTTTTTTCTCCCAAACTCCTACTTGTTATACCCCACTGCATGCACCCTTAATGTCTACACCCCCACTCCCTACACCCCCACTCCCTATACCCCCACTCCCTACACCCCCACTGCCTACGCCCCTACTCCCTACACCCCCACTGCCTACGCCCCTACTCCCCTACTCCCCACACCCCCACTGCCTATACCCCACTCCCTACACCCCCACTGCCTACACCCCCACTCCCTACACCCCCACTGCCTACGCCCCTGCTCCCTACACCCCCACTCCCTACACCCCCACTGCCTACGCCCCTATTCCCTACACCCCCACTACCTATACCCCCACTCCCTACACCCCCACTCCCTACACCCCCACTCCCTACACCCCCACTCCCTACACCCCCAATGCCCACTACGGACGCCCCTGTCTAGTTTCTCTGATCGAGCGAGAAGATAGCTAAGATCGCTGGTTAAATTTTAGTCGTTTCTTCACCTGTAAGATTGGCCTACCTGTATCTGTGTCGAGCCGGATTAAAAAAAAACTGGGTGTTGTATAATATACATTTAAATGCAGCGGGATTTAGAATCTAACAACATTCATCGCAAACTAGTTGTGGACTTTGTATTACAGATTTCTAGATTTTATTCTGCATTTGTATTGCTTTTACTTATTTGTAAGTAAAGTTGTGCGGGTTGTAATACTGTGCAGACGGTGATGTTGTGCAGACGGTGATGTTGTGCAGATAGTTGTGTCGTGTACACAGTAAAGCAAGTGTGTGTGTTTGTGTGTGTGTGTGCACATCCTGTTAGCGTGAACCAAGCTGCCGTCAACAGTAGCGTGTTAGCACGCACAAATCATTGACCGACATAGGCTGGGGTCAAGGTCGTAACACATCTCCTGGCTGCGTCGTCTGCTGGCGACGTTATTCTAAAACAGTGTCGTTGTTTACTTTAATAACGACGGACTTCACGCTAAAAGTGTCGTTGTTTACTTTAATAACGACGGATTTCACGCTAAAATTGTCGTTGTTTACTTTAATAACGACGGATTTCACGCTAAAAGCCGTTGTTTACTTTAATAACGACGGATTTCACGCTTAAAGTGTCGTTGTTTTTCTTTTATAACGACAGACAATTTACGCTAAAAGTGTCGCTGTTTACTTTTATAACGACGGATTTCACGCTAAAAGTGATGTTGGATACTAAACCGGTGTCGTTGTTTACTTTTATAACGACGGATTTCACGCTAAAATTGTCGTGTTTTACTAACATAACGACGGATTTCACGCTAAAAGTGTCGTTGTTTATTTTAATAACGACGGATTTCACGCTAAAAGTGTCGTTGTTTACTTTAATAACGACGGATATCACGCTAAAAGTGATGTTGGATACTAAACCAGTGTCGTTGTTTACTTTTATAACGACGGATTTCACGCTAAAATTGTCGTGTTTTACTAACATAACGACGGATTTCACGCTAAAAGTGTCGCTGTTTACTTTTATAACGACAGATTTCACGCTAAAAGTGTCGTTGTTTACTTTTGTATGGGACATGGTAATTATGCAATTAATCAATGTAGATGTTAAATATTAACAATGCTGTACAGGAGGTTGTAATACTGGACCTGATGTTTGTTGAAGATTATAACAATATAAATTACATGATCTTACATAATTATTTTATTTTAGTTATAATAATTGTTATTATTATTATTATTATTATGATTGTTGAAAATTATAACAATATAAATTACATGATCTTACATAATTATTTTATTTTAGTTATAATAATTGTTATTATTATTATTATTATGATTATTATTATTATTATTATTATTATTATTATTATTTTATTATCCTCATTATCATAATTTTTATTTTAACTATATTATTATTATTATTATTATTATTATTATTATTATTATTATTATTATTATATTATCCTTTTTATTATCATTATTTTTATTATTATTTTTATTGTTATTGTTATTATTATTATTAAATTATCATCATTATCATAATTTTTATTTTAACTATATTATTATTATTATTATTACTATTCTTATTATCATTCTTCTTATTATTATTCTGCTTTATGTAGCTTTTGTTAGATGCAAGGCTAAGTGGGTTTTTATTTTCTCTTTATTTTTAGATTGTGCTGTGGACTACTGAAGAACGTGATTAGGCAAATGTTTAAATTGACGGCATGATAAACTTAGAAGAAAGAAGAATGACGTTACGAATGAAAGAGAAAGTATATGTTAAGGTAATTTGTGTTTTAAATAAATAAAAGTAATGTTGCTTTTTAAAGTGACAGACTATACGAATTTTAAAATATTTTAGCTAATTATAAAGCATAAGTTTAATTTTTTTTAATCTTTAATTTAATATACAATATATTTAGTTTAAACATATATTGGTTCATTGTTTTATTTCGATTTTTAAAAAAATGAAGTAAAATTGTATCTACAATTTTTTTTTTATATTGAACGCTAGAGTGATTGAACTTGATTAAAGGGAGGCGATTCAGAATATTCCAGCTCTAAGATTTACGTACCCTATATGATTATTTTCAAATAAATAGGCATGTTTTAAATGCCTGCTTCGTAATCTTTTTTTTTTCACCGTGTAAAATGCTGATTCCATGAAACCTGGAGGTTTAGAGTCGGCTGACTGGCAGATTATTTCCCTTAGATGCTTGATACGCGCAGTATCAACATGCAGAGTGTGTTGGGTGGGGCGGGGGGCATGGTTTTAAATGGTGTTCTAGGGTGGTTTTAAATGGTGTTCTAGGGGTGGTTTTATATGGTGTTCTAGGGGTGGTTTTATATGGTGTTCTAGAGGTGGTTTTAAATGGTGTTCTAGGGTGGTTTTAAATGGTGTTCTAGAGGTGGTTTCAAATGGTGTTCTAGAGGTGGTTTTAAATGGTGTTCTAGAGGTGGTTTTAAATGGTGTTCTAGAGGTGGTTTTAAATAGTGTTCTAGAGGTGGTTTTAAATGGTATTCTAGAGGTGGTTTTAAATAGTGTTCTAGGGGTGGTTTTAAATGGTGTTCTAGGGGTGGTTTTCAATGGTGTTCTAGGGGTGGTTTAAATTGTGTGTTCGGTGTGGTGTGTTGGGGTGGATTTAAGAGGTGTGTTGGGGTGGGGTGGATATAATTGTTGTGTATGGGTGCTTTTAAATGGTGTGCTGGGTTGGTTTTAAATGGTGTGCTGGATTGGTTTTGAATGGTCGGTATAATTGGCGCGGTTTTAGTGGTATGCTTCGGGTTGTTTTAATGGTGTGTTTGGGCGTGATGCATGTATCTAATGTGGGCTAGGGGTGCTCCGGGTTATGCTCAGTGTTTACGTAGAAGTTAAACTAGCTATAGCTTATAACCCATGACTTCTCCCCCCCCCCCCCTCAAAGTATTATCTTTAAACCGTGATCAACAAATTTATTTTTTTAACATTGATTTACAATTTGCTTTTCTATCGTCTTGAAACCGTGGTGGAGAGAGTTCTCTTTCAATTACAATATTAAACACACCTTTTAATCGGCTAACTACTTTTAAAATGTGTTTTAGGTGCTTTTTGTGGTGTTCTTGTGTGTTCTGTCATGGGTTTTTGGATGTTCTGGGTTGGGTTTTAAGTTATAGGGTTTGAGTTATTAGGTTTAAAGTATCAGACTTGTGATTTAAATAGAAGATATCGCTTTGATATTGATGGGACTTGCGACTGTTGAGGCGAGTCTAGTGACTTATGTAAATGTAACTTGTCACTTATATAGATGTGACTTGTGACTGACGCATATCACCGTGAGCTACCTCAGCCGCCTGTAAATTCCAGCATGCTTTATGTGCAAGCGGACAACAATCACGAAGGATATTTTTTTCACGGCATACATTTACCGTCTTCACCGGACACGGTCTTATCATAGTTAAGAGGGGAGAAGGAGGGGGGTGGGGGGGAGGAGACCTAGAGGACACACGGGACTAAGAGTGACGTGTTCCAGGTACTGTTTAAGGCTGTGTTCGCTGAGGTCATGTAAGGTCATTTTGAAGGTACTAGCTGTATCTGTTTTCATGTTGTAGTCAGGGTTTGACGGGCTCGCTGGTTTACCGGGAAATTCCCGATGTGCCCCAAGAACATATGTCGGTGTCTCCCTCCCCCCCCCCCCCCCATGAGTGATACTGTAAAAGTCCTATTAGTGTTTTGATTTTTTTAAAAATATTTAGTAAGTATTTTTTACAATTACAATTTCTATTCCTTCAAATCCAAGGTGTGCAATTCAGGCTTTGATGGAGCAAGAAATGCACAATAAAAACTTAAATCTGGGGTTGTCGGCTCTGTACTGTTTGCGGCTGTTTGTATGTATTGTTTGTGGCTGTTTGTATGTACTAGTTCCGACTATTTGTATGTACTAGTTCCGGCTGATTCTATGTACTAGTTCCGGCTGTTTGTATGTACTAGTTCCGGCTGTTTGTATGTACTAGTTCCGGATGTTTGTATGTACTAGTTCCGGCTGATTCTATGTACTAGTTCCGACTGTTTGTATCTACTAGTTCCGACTGTTTGTATGTACTAGTTCCGACGGTTAGTATGTCCGCTAATTATTCCCAAGGTTCAAGCTCCGCCTAAATGTAAGGCGTTCCTAGCAGTGCTGAGTAAGGTGACCCGATGCTAATTACTGGCGAGGTCATCGCCTCCATTTATTCAACGTATCCTCCTCCGTGTGTTTCTTCTACTCTTATCAACCACACACACACACATGCACACACACACACATACACGCACGCGGGCGCACGTGCGATTATTCCACAATCAACTGAATTAACAAGTCCACCCCAGTCCTGTTTTTTTTTCTGTCTCTTCCTGCTTCAACATTCCCAAAGGCGTCTCCTCATAAACTAACCTGCCGGCCAGAGGTACAAGATGGATTCGTCTAATACCGCCTCGTATCCTACACAAGAGAAGTTCGATACAGTACATAAACTCTGTATAACTTGTGCAGTACTGTACAGCATGTTAGAGGTGTCGCCTTAGGTTGTGAAACGACTAAAAAAAGTGACTTGGGGTGTGGGGCCCGCAAGGTGGGGCGGGTGACGCCCCTGATTTACACAACGCTATCGCGAGCTGCCGGCTGCGGTATCAAGTTCCTCGGGACGGCCATAAAATTGGCCGGGCCTGCTGTTCCACAAGGGCACAGCTTGTGGCAGTCTGGGTGGCTGGTATCGACTCTTTGCCATTATCCGTGGCTGGTATCGACTCTTTGCCATTATCCTTGGCTGGTATCGACTCTTTGCCATTATCCTTGGCTGGTATCGAATTTTGTGCCATTATTCTTGGCTATTATCGAATCTTTGCCATTATATTTGGCTGGTATCGACTTTAGTGCCATTATTCTTGGCTGCTATCGAATCTTTGCCATTGTCCTTGGCTGGTATCGACTTTTGTGCCATTATTCTTGGCTGATATCGAACTTTGTGCCATTATTGTCGGTTGGTATCGACTCTCCGACATTATTCTTGGCTGGTATTAACTATTTGAAGTTGGGTGAATAGCTGGTATCGATTCTTTTGTTATTTGTGTTAACTGGTATCGACTCTCGTGCTATTATAAATGACTGGTATCGACTCCATGAAGTAGTTTAAATGCTTGGAATATTGTATTATTCTTTTTGCTGTAAATCGTATATCGACTCCTACGCAAACTTTTTTGCTGGTGTGAACACCCGCATTACTGCGATTGGGCGGTATCGAGTCTTGCAGTATTTTCTTTGGGCGAAGTTTTTTATTTATTTTTTATTTTTTTTATTACAATTTTTGGAAAGAATTCTATTCTATAGATTTGTTTCTAGTCATAATCTGATCTTTATAAATCTTATGATCACGAAGCTATTGCTTTATGGTTTAATTTAATTCTCTATTAACGTAATAAAAAATCAGAATGTATTTTAAGAAACGAAAAAAAAATCTGAATTTCCCCCTTATCTCTAGATTTAGTACAGACAGCGAACAAAAATGAATAAAGACGGTCATATATTTTAAGAATGTTTTCTTAAAAATTGAAAATGAAAACGGATTGTAAGCAGAAAAAAATCTGGAGTCGGCGGAAGTGGGGTATCATGTGACAGGAAGTGAAGCATCTAATTCCTTCCTCCCCCCCCCTCTCCCCCGGGATAAACCTTGGTATACAATAAGCGACAGTGTGCGCGGGTCCACAATGGCCGACATTCATGTCAAATTGTTTTTTTTATATCTACAGCATTTTTGGTTTAAATGTTTGGGGTATTTTTGTAACCTCTCCCAGTTTTGTTTGTTTGGTACTGTGGTAGATGGTGTGGTAGATGGTGTGGTAGATGGTGTGGTAGATGGTGTGGTAGATGGTGTGGTAGATGGTGTGGTAGATGGTGTGGTAGATGGTGTGGTAGATGGTGTGGTAGATGGTGTGGTAGATGGTGTGGCCTTGTGGTAGATGGTGTGGTAGATGGTGTGGTAGATGGTGTGGTAGATGGTGTGGTAGATGGTGTGGCCTTGTGGTAGATGGTGTGGTAGATGGTGTGGTAGATGGTGTGGTAGATGGTGTGGTAGATGGTGTGGCACTGTGGTAGATGGTGTGGTAGATGGTGTGGTAGATGGTGTGGTAGATGGTGTGGTACTGTGGTAGATGGTGTGGTACTGTGGTAGATGGTGTGGCCTTATGGTAGATGGTGTGGTAGATGGTGTGGTAGATGGTGTGGCACTGTGGTAGATGGTGTGGCACTGTGGTAGATGTTGTGGCCTTATGGTAGATGGTGTGGTAGATGGTGTGGTAGATGGTGTGGTACTGTGGTAGATGGTGTGGCACTGTGGTAGATGGTGTGGTAGATGGTGTGGTAGATGGTGTGGTAGATGGTGTGGCACTGTGGTAGATGGTGTGGTAGATGGTGTGGTAGATGGTGTGGTAGATGGTGTGGTAGATGGTGTGGTAGATGGTGTGGTAGATGGTGTGGTAGATGGTGTGGTAGATGGTGTGGTAGATGGTGTGGTAGATGGTGTGGTAGATGGTGTGGTAGATGGTGTGGTAGATGGTGTGGCCTTGTGGTAGATGGTGTGGTACTGTGGTAGATGGTGTGGTACTGTGGTAGATGGTGTGGTAGATGGTGTGGCACTGTGGTAGATGGTGTGGCACTGTGGTAGATGTTGTGGTACTGTGGTAGATGTTGTGGTACTGTGGTAGATGTTGTGGCCTTATGGTAGATGGTGTGGTAGATGGTGTGGTAGATGGTGTGGTACTGTGGTAGATGGT